CTCGCACTTACTAGGAATTCCTCGTTAAAAACTCCAACACGTATAATTCCAGATTGTGCAGCACTCTGCACGCTGCGAAAGCTTCACGAGTCTTCCAACAGAAGTGCAGAACTGTCCTCGGAAGTGCACTTGACGATCCTGTACTTGAGCCTTGCCCAACAAGAAACGGACGAACAGTCACAGAGCGGTCCAAGGGGTCTCCATCCCGACCTCGTACCACCGCCCGACGCCATTAGAGAAGCACCTCAACCTGTGTCACAACGCAGACTCAAACATGTCTTGCAGACCTGCGACAGCAAAACATCCCTGCCTCGCTTCCGTGAAGCTTTCGGATCATGGAGGCGAACATGGCATCCCGCGGCTGCTCTTTCAACGCCCAAGCCCGGCATGAACATGAAAAGAGTAGGACTTGGAGTTGCCTAGAAGATCCTCAAAAACTCCTTGGCAGGTCATGCAAGCTGAGCATTTGGCACAGTACCTGCTGGTGCTGTTGGTCGTCTTGCCATGTTACCAGCGGCTACAACCCACAGAGGGATCGGCACAAGTCCACAAGTGCATGAAGAGAGGCAGTTCAAAACACCTAATTCCCACACGGCCGAGTTCATTCGCATGTTCTGCTGCTGCTGCCAAAGTGCAGGGAAGCGGTGTACGAGCACGCCAGAAGTTGCCAGCATCTCCTGAGGTGCGAGGCTGCATAAGGCTTCCAAGATTTAGATTCCAGGGTCTTCTAGTGGCTTGCACAAGAGCAGGTCAACACTGCCTGGCCTGGTGGAGTGCGTCCACGCACCTTCGCTTTTCCTCTAACCGCCTTAGCATCTCACCGATGTGTTGGTACCAGAAAGATGTTCAGACACTATTGCTGTCGACTTCCTTTGTCCATGATGACGGCAACGACAACGACGATAATGACGTTGAAGATGATGGTGATGATGATGATGACGGCGATGACGACGATGATGATGAGGGTAGTGATGATGATGACGATGATGACGGTGATGGTATGGAAGACTGATGGCGAATGGATGATGGTAGATGGCTAAACAAGGAAGATAGATGATGGATGGTGGGTAATGGGCGATAGGTGATGGATGATGGATGGTGGATGGTGAGAGGACGGATGGATGGATGGCTGGCTCGCTGGGTGGGTGGATGGATGGATGATGGTGATGATGATGATGATGATGATGATGATGATGCGGAGGACGACGGTGACAACGACGACGACCACAGCAGTGGCGGCGTCGGTGGTGGTGGTGGTGGTGGTGGTGGTGGTGGTGGTGGTGGTGGTGATGGTGGTGGTGGTTTGATGGTGGTGATGGTGGTGATGGTGGTGATGGTGGTGATGGCGATGGTGGGATGCTGGTGATGCTGGTGATGGTGGTGATGGTGGTGATGGTGGTGATGGTGGCGATGCTCGTGATGCTGGTGATGCTGGCGATGCTGGTGATGCTGGTGGCGAAAGCGACATGAACCTGCTAGATGCCAACAAGAGAGACTTGATAACGATGACCAAGACCATCATAGTGCTCGCGATGGTGAGGGCGATGAGAGCACTGATGATTACGATGACTCTTGTGACCTGGTGGTGATCGCGAGACATCCTCCCAACACCCTCACCATTCACGTCACGAGCTTCATCACACATCGTCATCATCATCATTACCATCAACAGCACCATGAACAACACCACCGTCATTAATAATTGTCTTGTGACTCTTGTCGATATTCCTGTTGGTGTCTTTCGTTCAATGTTCCTGGTTGTACCGTCATACTGGTCATGATTCCTGCTGGTGACCACTGCATTGCTTGCCCTGTTTACAGAAAGGCGCTGCCCGGCTGCCGTTCTTGAACACAGCATGCTTTTGGGCGAAAAACGCATCGCAACAGAGAATGAAGTGGGCTTCGACCACATTGACCAGATCCTGGCTGCCACAAGTATCGCCGCAGAAGAAAGTGTATGGAGATGCTGCGTCCAGGGGCATGACTCATACCGGCAGCTCCTTGATGTCTGCAGCGATCATGCCGAGTACTGTGAGTTGTTTTTCACGGTTCAGTTGCAATATCATGTTCATCACTTTGCTGCCGGCTATCTTATCTTGTGGCTCTGAGTCAGGACGATACGACTGCGCTGTCACGACGCAGAGTTGGTGCAGACAGAATGCTGAATGCTCTATGTAGCCATCTTTGACACGGCTCTGCAAGTCTCCTCCTGAGATAAACACATAGAGCTGCACGAGCTTGTTTATAGAACGGAAGCCTCAAGTTCGAGAATCTGGACCCCAGACTCTGCACCGATCAATCCTTCCAATCTGAAAGGAAGCCCCAAACCCGAAATCTGCCAAGCCGACTCTCCCGAATGCAGCAGCGGCTGGGTCAAGGGCTGCTCATTGGCTCGCAGCTCTTCACGTCGGGCGTGCTGGGTTTTGAGCTCAGCAAGCTCCTTTCGGCTGGAGGTGCGAGAGATCACGGAGCCTGTGACTTGTAGTATGGCATTTACGGTGCCACTTCACACGACTCTGTGCGCAGTCCAGCCGGGTTTCGGCTTCTGGATCACAGAGTGCCATGCAACACTTTGCAATTTTGCCGGGAGCCCTCGCAACCCATAACCAGGACAGACAGCTTGGACATGCTGGTGCTGACAGATGTATTGGGGTCATCATCATGAGCTGCATAGGCCCTCTTTTGAGACCATGCCCTGCGTAGTTTAGTCATGAGTCACTAGTCTGTGTAATTATGTCCGACTGTCCAGCAGGATCTCTTCCTGCATGGCTTTTACAGCCTCAGGTCGCTGCCCACTGCCAGGCGCAGTATCGTGAACGTGAGCGCGAGCTGCACACATCGACAGCGGCCAGGGCGGCCAAGGCACACGGCATTCGGCCAAGGTGTCTTGCAAGCCAGCAACCTCAGGAGCCAATTGATCAGATCTGTGGCGATGCTTCTCGAGCTCTCTTGAAAGTGCGCACACACACACACACACCTACACCTAGGCAACTGGGCACCCATCTGATGCTTTGCTTGGCTCTTCAGGCCTCATCATGGGACGCTCGTGCCCTGCAGTCAGAGGAGTTCCGATCCAATCCTGCCTCCTTTCGTCTTTGAGGAGATGAAGCGATGTCTCGGAAAGCCGGGCAGCCATGTCGTGACTAAAAGCGGCTCTTACGTTAGACGTAGATGCTGCAGCCATCTCCTTCCAAATACAAGCACCCGCGATGAAAACACACAAACAAACGACTAAGGGCAAGTCCCAGCATGCCGCGGCAACGGCAAGCACCAGTGCCTGTCTTGATGGATGATCACATTGACTGCCACAGCTGTGCAAGCAGGCGCACGGCTGCTCGAAGATCAATCCGGACCTGAAGCATTTTGGATTCTTACCTTTCAGGCATAAAAGAAGAGACGGCACTTGGCGATGAAGGTGATGAATGATGATGACGATGCTGACGGCAATGCTATGATAACGATGGTGGCTATGCAATCATGCTGGCAATGCTCGTGATGCTGGTGACAGTGACCATGGTCGCGCGATGATCGTGGTGCTTGTGGGCTCCGGTGATGCTAGCATAAGTGGAGCTCATCCTTTCCGGTCATGGTCGTTGGGCTGCCGATGATGATGATGATGACGACGATGATGACTGCTGCACCAGCAATGTGGTGATGACGCTGCTAGCAGTGTTGGTGGCGGCGGGGACAGGGTGGCAGTGGCGGTGGCAGTGATGATGGTAGCAGTGGTGATTCTACCTGCAACACTAGCAGCTTTAAGTTTTTAAGTGTTTCCGCATGAGAAAATCAGTAGGACGGTGAATGCAGAGATCTCACTCGTCTCACTGGTACATGGAATGTGCGCATTCAGGCGACCTCCAGAGATCGCTCAGGAAGTAGCCTCAGCACGGTTCTGTCGAAAGCCAACATTGCTGGTAATATCAAAACTGGGACGTTGACTGACGTTGTGACGCCTAGCCTGTATTGATGCTGTTTCGTTTTCTGTGATTCATCGGTTCTCTATCCCCAAATTGCCTTAAGATCCGCACTCCGTTTTTGCCGCGCCATTCTTGAAATGCAGAATGCTCATCCCCTGCTGACGGACTACGTGTTCAAATAGATCAGCTTCTGCAGGTTCAAGGTTTACTACGATAACTAAATTTTCGGAACCGCGCAACGTAGAGATTTTTGTGCCTACGCGGTTAGGAGTTGTAGTCGTTGTCGGCTGGCGCTGGCAGTGCAAGACACGACAGAGTTCTGAAGATGAAGCCTCCCTCTGAACCTTCAAAGCTTGTCTCGGGATCCCAGCTCCAGAAGCAACGCTGTAGCTGCCACGATGAGTGGGCTCAGGGCTGCCAGAGCCTAATGCAGGCGAATGACGCAAGAGAGGATGGTTAAATAGTTAGACTTTAGGATTCTTGAGGAGCCGAGAGCCTACTGGATTGAGTGCTTCTGCACCGGACGACGGTGTTGCCGGGGATGGTTTGTTGCTGGCGTCCGTGGGTCCGGCGTAGCCTACGGCACCAGTAGGGCGCGAGCTCCTTCAGGGCATCTTCGGATCGGTCCCACGAGATGTCTAAACCCAAATGGCGCGGAATTCCAGCAAGGTTGACATTGACGCTGCGGGCTAGAGTTTGCAAGCAGCTGCTCGAAATCGCAGCACATTCACCAAGCTCGGGGCCATGGCTTTGCCAGAGTTTGGCCTGAGTTGAAAGCAGTTCAGACTCTAACAGTGATGTTACACAGCCATCCCAGCTCGCTTGGGGCTCGGACTGCCATGGGACAGCTGGTCTGTTGCAGGATGTAGACTCAACCATGCGCTCGTTCGCTGAGGAGCCGGACTTCTGCTTAATGGTTGGCAGCTCGATTCAGGTGAAGTTGTAGCCGGTAATTAAATAACGGCAGTTGTCATAACGGCAGTTGCCACCGTTGTCTTGAAGTGTTCTTTGCATCACGCCTTTCGTGTCCTGGTACTATCCTTGAGAAGTCTGCCTCATAGTCGTGCAGGTCACCGGGTCTGTTTGTCTATGTCCACTGAGCTGCTTGGAAGAAAGCGCAGAATCGTTTACACTCCTGACTTGAAAACAGTTGCGGCAGCAACAGAGCAGCCAGCTGTGCTGGTCTCCCTTTGCCGCACATCCGACATGTAGCGTCTCAACACCGCATTGAGCGAAGGGTCGGAGTCTGTCAATTTCAGCAGATCCTGATCTGTCTCATTCCCACGACCTTGCAGATGCTAACTTGCAACCTACAGCAGAGCACTCTGCATGCTCCCAAGAACTGAAACTTTGGCGCTGACCTCCCCATGCCTGTGCGACGGCGGATCGGCCGTAGCCAGGCCTGTCTCGACTCTCATGCTACTACCTGCAGGTGTCGACACAGACAGCTGAGCGTTAGCCGGAAGACCAGCCGCTGGCCTTGCTGCCAAATAGCAGAACACCATACCAACCTGCCAGCGCAGAACGGAACAGCGAACCCTTGCAGCCTAAAGAACTCCGCTATTGCGGCAACACCGCTGGGTGCATGTCGAAGGCCTGACTGTGCTGAGACCTGACCGTGACAACGGGGTTAAGAAAGCCAAGACAAATTGCAGCCACATGCCACTTGCACCGTGCGAGGATGCTGGGCTCAACGACCAGTTCTTCCACATGTATTTCCATAGAGTTGGGCGGTTGGCATTGACCTATGCAAACCGAGCTCAAGAGCACACCTCCACATGGAGCTCTACGACTCTGCTGTGGACACAGTGAGGCAACAAACTTTACTAAATAGACACACATCTGATCGGAACAGATGCTTTTGCGGAGCTGGGGCCTGCACAGATGCTGCCACAGCGATAGCGTACATGATGACATCCTCCATGCAGAGTAGTTGAGGTGCGCAGTGCCGTTGCGGTTGCGGAATGTTGCGGACTGGCTGAAGCATAAGCTATCAGCTATTTTACACGAGGTGCCTTGCGCAAGCTTGCAAACTCACTGCTGCTCGTCCACCACGAGTTGAAAGGGAGCCCGATGGCCGCCCGAGCCAGCACGCGCATCACATCAGAAGCACAAATGCAGCCGTTTCTGTCACCCCAGCGTCCATATGGCGTCGCCGTGTCCGTAGTTCAACAGACGGGGGCATTGCATTGCACTGCACTCATGAACCACGTCGAGAGAAGCGATACTGTCCAGAGGACTTCCACGGATATCTCAATCTTGCAGCCGGTGACCCTGCCCACCAAACAGTTGAAATGCATCATTCCGTCCTGGGGCAGGGGTCGCTTCATCCCTTGAACCTCATGGTACAGCTGCAGTTGAAGAATAGAAACAGAAACCAATCAGTTTAATTAATCATGTGCCGCCTGTGTCGCGCGACGCCGAGGGCGCACCTCAGGAGACCGTCCATGTTTAGAAGTGTAGCCTTGAACATAATGCAAGAGTCGCCCAAATCCACAATGTCCGAATTTACTCAAGGCCGGGTAACCGGTTCAAATCAAGACAATAGTAGCAAGATGTTGCACGGACAACTTAGTTTGGGACCCGATCTCGGCATTTCAATTCCTCGCCGCCATCCCGGTGGAGCACCAGGCACCCAACGGCCCCCCAAAAGGCTGACAAGCCCAGCCACCGGAACTCGAACTTTGTCCTCCAGCTTCTGGGCTGTCTCCCTTGATGGTAGAAAGACTCGGTCAAGGGACAGGGCTCGCCAAAGATATGCGAAAGAAACGGCTGACAAGGTTTCCCACTGTACTGAGCCACTGAACACCGACAGCGCGACTGTAATCGATAAAGGATACCACTTGTATGGCACCTCTACGAGTCCAAGCAAATTCGTCCGCATGTCTGGAAGGTCCAGCGCGTGCTGGGTCAATGCACAGAGCCCGATGCTCCACAGCCCATAGTTCATTCGCAGGTCAGCAGAATGTCTACCCTGTTTTTGAAGCACACTCATCAAGAAAAGAAAGAAAAGATTGCTGCCCCCTGTGTTCACTATGAGCCAGACCAAGAACCGCAAGGAACCAAGTTCCTGCTCCAGGAACGGCATAAAGGAGATGGATGCCTGCAGCTCAGTCAGAGCCAGCAGCGTGTCTGAGCCGCTGTAGAGGGGTCTGTGCAGTGCTGACAGAAGAACGGGAGCCAACTGCTTGCGCTTCAGGACATTGGCGAGGCAGCAAGCAAATAGCCTCGTCGTCGTCACTCGTGTATCCAGTCCAACTGCATTTAGCAACCAAGGAGTGCTGCTACATGAGGCATAGAGTGCCAAAAGCAAGCGTGTGCCTATGGGGCACTCTGCAAGCTGCGAGAGTGCTAAACCCATCCTTGCCACAGGATTGTCACAGATCCTCGAGCCACAAATCTGCCCTCGCAGCTGACGCACGGACAGGCATCAAAACACAGTGAGACACTGTGAAGCTTGGATCCCGGCAGCAAGATGATAGTGCTTGCCTCGAGCCGATGGACAGGATCATAACTGCACTTCAAACTCAACTGGCTTCCATCCTTGTCCACGGCCCTCGATGTGTCGCTTCAGAAACCAGCCAAGCATCCGTTCCTTCATGGCATAACGCTGCATAGCTTACCACCCATGCGGCTGTTGTCGGATGCCTCGTGCTCGGGCTTTGCCTTTATCACGTACAGGATCTGCTCCGACCTTGCATGAGGCTCTGAACCCTTGCGGCCCTTGCGGCGCTGGCTAAGCTAATCTTGTTTTGCGGTCCTCCCTCGAAGACAAATGACCGGTGCCGAGAGTGCGCAGTTCTGTTGCCCGAGCAGGCGCAACCGACGGACGACGGCCAAATAAGCCATAAGTCAAAGGGAGGCGTGGGGCGTCAAATCTAAAATGGGGCAAGATGTCGGTCAAGTCGCTGTTCACATGCGTGCTGTACAACACTACAGCATTGGTGGCTCGATGACGACAAAAAAAGACATTACTTAGGAGTGGATCCCTTTTCCATGTCCTAAAAGCATCCCCTCCAACAGGGCGTTGGGGGGCGGGACTCGCCCGAGCGGCCTTTGGACGGAGGTTGCAAAGGGTGGACGTTAGAACACGGGCTCCGCAAAAGCGCGGCGTTACATTGAATGCACACACAGCAAACGAATTGCATCGAACTGTCAGATTGTCCAATCTTCGGGGCGGATGTATTTTTGAACGCACATTGCAGTTCAAGGCACTCTTTGGGTGACAGGAGATGAGCCAAGGAGTCCTGTCACAGTGCCAGAAGCCCGAGTGACATCAGCTGGAGGATGTGTCACAGACTCACAGAAGTCCTTGTCCGGTTCCACGCTCGCGGGCACCGCAAGCTCATTTCTGCAATTCACATGCTGCTGAAGAAATCCGCCGCAGCGCAAACTGACGAGCACCGCTCCCGCCACCCGCCTGACAGAGTCCAGCTGTCGGATCATTGCGCAGGAACTGACCACCTTACGTCGTCCCATGCCGGCCACGTCTCAGAAAAAGCCCGAAGCCCGAAAAAACATCCCCATCGAGGTACATGCCCAGTGCAGATTGGCATCGAGGTGTCCAGACTGATGACGGTCGCGCAACCAAGCACCCCAAGTGCCGCGTCACATCATACAGTCATACAGTAATAGCATGGCCACTCTGGCAGCAACTGTCAGAAGATCGACTGGACGATTTGCGCCTCTGCCTTGACTGTTCTCGCCAGCAATGTTGACACCTACCAGCGTGAAGGCATCTACCGTCTACAGTCGCCCTTCAGGGGATTGAGCAATTCCGCTGTCATCCAACGAACAGCCGTGGCCGACCCCAGACCCAATCGTGCGGCATCGTTATCCTACACCCACACGGCACTCCGAGCAATGATTTATCCCTGTCGAACGTTTCGCATCCAGCGTCTCCAGGCGTGCTTATCACGAAATCGCGGTTTCTCAGATTCTCGGCGGCTCGCCACGCAGCTCCAAGATCGATCAGTCTTAGTAGGCTGAGCACATCCATCTGGCCGCTGGCTTGTTCTTAACTGTCTTAACTTTGGGGCCAGAGAGGCCCAACCCCAAAGGGAGCATCTGATGCTCCCCAGTTGGCGATCAGGTGCAAAGCCCCAGCCTCCAGAAGAAGCTGCAACAGATTGTCGTCCTCAGGCTCCAGACTTGTGACCTAAAAACGCATACATCGCCTCCCATGTTTTTGGAAGCAAAACATCGTGGTCTAATGACTTCGAAGGAAGCACTTGCGAAGTTGAAGCTCATGACACAACGCAGCTCCTGCATAGTCATTGAGATCCAGCCTGGGACTCACAGCGCTCGTGTAACTCTTGCAGAAGCAACACCCCATCCCCACCTGTACTTAAGATACCGAATCTGCTGTGTATCCGTCTGAGCACACGTCGAAGAGTCCAGAGCAATGTCCTTTTAGTCAGACATGCGCCATGTTCAGACTTTCAGGTGCTTCTACCAGCGCGCTCGAAAGTGAGGGACAGCTGGGGCCCCAACCGCTCCAGAGCAGTCTTGTCAGATGACAGCCATCCAGCGTGATGGACCTTCCCGTGCGAAGCTGCCCTGCTCCCTGCTTCGACTATTTTCCACTGGATGTCACTGGCCTTCACAAGGTTCAGCACGCTGCCGATGAGATCAGCCTCGTGCGCCGCATAGGTACTAGGCCCACTGAGTATCTGCGAGGCTCCGCGAGAAAATAGGCGCTGTCTTTTAGGAGCAAGTTTGGTCAGTTGCAAGCTCAACTCGGGGACGTGATCATGGTACAGTGCAGGGCCCCCAGCCCGGGGCTTCAGACACAAGGTACGAAGACACAGCTTGCCTCCGGTAATGATCGAAAGCTTTCTGTAGAGGTCATAAGAATCGCAGTTCCGCGGAAGATTCTGGATTTCGGGCCGGGGTGAGGGAAATCCAGTCATGCAGCCCTATGCCTATGCGTACACAGGTGAAGACACCTGGGGCATGTGATGGCAGCTCAGCTTGGGATGGTGGAGAGGAATCTGAGCTGCAGCTGCACGCTCTTCGTGCAGTTGGTGAATTGTGAAAGGCACGCTGTAGAACATGACGTCTCCCGTCTCACTTGTATGATTGCACCTTCGAAGACAAAAGTTCGGCCAAAGGGCCCAGCATCTTGTTGAAGGAGAGCCTGGACATCGAAAGAACCTTGGCATTTTCACTCTCCACAATGACACTGGCTGCCCGTGGCTGGTTCTTCAGAAGTGCGAGCTCGCCGAAGTAGTCGCCGACCTTGTAGTCCATAACTCGCTTCGAGCTGCCGTCAATGTCCTTTAAGGCATAGAGCGTGCCTTCCTCAACGATGTAGAACTTGTCGCCCGGATCATCCTGCTTGACAATGCAGTCGCCTTTCTGGAACTTCTCCGGCTTCAGGGCATCAGCAATCTGGGAACGCTCGTAGGCTTCAAGTGACGCGAGAAGGGTGACGGACTGAAGGAACTCATCATACTTATTGCGGCGGGCCACGGCAGCGTCCTTGACGATGTAGTTGAACGATTCGCGATCGAGCTCCCAACAAATGCACTCGTCCTTTGCAACCACGGAGGCCGCACGAGGGCAATTGTAGAGCAAAGCTAGTTCACCGAAGACGTCGCCCTCGTTCACTGTCTTGACAACCTTGTCTTCCCCGTTGGATGCCTTGATGCACTCCAGCTGTCCTTTCTCGATGACGAACAGGAAGTCGCCATTGTCCCCCTCGTTGATGACCTTCTGTCCAGCTGCAAACTTGCACTCCTTCATGGCGCCGAGTATGGTTGTCATGTCTTTGTCCTCCAAGCTCGAAAACATGAAGCTCTTGGAAAGTGTCTGCTTCAAGCGCTGCTTCTGCTCATCAGTCTTCGGATGGTCCGGAGGAGTAAAGGCCTTCTTCTGATTCCATGTCCCGTAAGCCTCTGCACTGACAGAGGTTCGGGTCTTGCCCATACTCTCCTCGGACTTGCGGAAGGATTCCGGGATCTCGTCGCAGTCATCATCGTCGTCTTCCTCCTCTTCCTCTTCTTCGGCCGGTGCGGCTGCAGCTGTGCTAGCTTCTTCCAGAGACCCCTGCAAATAGCGCAATTCTTGCTTCAGATTATGGTTCTTCTGAAACACGGAGACCCTCTCTGTTGCATCAGCTGCTCGCCCGGTTCGCTTGATGAGCCATTGGATCATGAAGTCCATCGGCACATTTGGCATCTCAGCCAACACATCACTTACCATTTCTTCAAGGATTGGATCCAAGGTCTTGAGGATGTAATCTTTCTTCTCCTCAGCGAACGGCAGGCCATCTACCACTGACATGGCGTCGCGACACTTAGAAGGCTGAGTAGCCTTCACAAAGGCCAAGCAGTAGCCTGATCAGACTAGGCTTGAGCACTGAAACGGATGGTTGGCAACCACAGGGTGCAGAAGGCCACCACTCAGCAAAACAAGCTGTCCGTCCAGAGCATTGAAGATTTCCAGTACATTGGCAGCTACTGGCTGGGATCATCGCTGCGCCGGGCCAGGAAGTGTCTCCTGGGCTCGTGGCCCTTAGAACATCTCGCGGGCATCTCGGAACGACTCTCGGATTCGTGGAAACCTTGCTGCCTTGGGCCTCCTTGGGCCTAGGCCGCTGCAAAGCCAGCAGCACTGCCCTGGCCTAGGCAGTCTGACTCTGACGCTCAAAGGCTAAAGGAACTCGCCGTGCTCGGGCCTTGGGCCAGCGTGCTTCGACCTTTTCAGGGCCCACACTTTAAATACCCACCAGAGGCAGGGCGCCGAGTGCCGCACCATGTCAGCAAACAGCATCTGAAGCCTCTGCCTGCACGGATGACGGCTAGAGCCGGAATGGGGCAAACACTTCCGGAAAACCTCATATCACCCCACTCCTCTGAGCATTTACTGCGCGGACTTGTCAAAACAGTTGACTTGACTGCGCTGGGGGCAAACGAAACGGTTTCACTATGGAATGCAGGAGGCTCTCTGCAGGCATGCTGCGAAGACCTGCTCCTCAGCTAAGCAGCATCATTGCACCGCATGTTTCTCCCTCAACGCTTCAAAGAAAGCTAAACAAGCGCTTCCACAAAATCTTGTTGCCGCGCCCAGCCCAGAAACCAGGCTTCTAACTATTACATAGTCTTTCGCAGTTGTGCATGCAAGACTGCGGTTCGTGCTTCCTCATGGCGCTTCCGGAGCACCACGTCGAAACACACTCGGCAGGCTTTGCATCGAGCACTGCGGGGTCTTCTGTTTCCGAAACAAAGATAGATGCGGCACCTGCAAGACATGCAGCTGGCATTCGCCTCCTTCAATGGCGCAGAGGCAACATGGTCTCAGAGTCTATTCGGACTCGACTTCGGGACGATCTTAGCTTTCTCCGCACATGTTCAGTAGCATCGCTGTCCACAACAGACTGGGCCTAGCAGTTCATCTCCGTCGTGCAGGGTCAGCCGGCGAAGATTGGAGCTGAGAGCCACAGCAAAGCATCTAGTGACTACTGATTCGTGAGACTGTGGACAGCGATGCTGTCTCAAAGTCGAGGAGTTAGCTAAGGTGCTAAGTTAGCGCGGACGCGGGCTTCAAGCAGCCATTCCGCCACTGCAGAGAAGTATGCTGCCTCTGCGCCGTGGACGGACGCGAGTGTCACATGACAGTCTTGCAGGCAGGGAACTCTTGAAACTTTTTTGCTAAGGAATTGTCTTGCTGCCTCCAGCTGCGGGGAGATCAAACTTGGATTCGCTTGTCGGCACTCACGCGGCGGCCCGTCATTCAGAGCGAATTTTGCAATACAATGTGCACGACGGTCGCAGTCGTTCGCACTCGGGACTGAAGGTGCTAAACAGGCGACAAACCCATGGCTGCCTGCATGTGGGCAGCAAATCTGCAACTCGTAGCGAGACCGAGACCAAAGCCTTCGTGGTAAGTGCAGTGACAGCTGATGCTGAGAAGTTATACAAACGATATCGTGTCTGCTGCACCCCGTCTACGGAGAGAAAATGAGGTCGCGTCCCTGACTGTGACATCAGCATCATCCAGCCTGGCAGACAATGGGCAGAAGAAACGAACACTTCCCATTAATTATCCTTGCAAACCGCCGCCAGTCGCGCATCCGCATCAAGCTGACATAGTCGAGGTATCCTGGTACAACAGCAAGACGAGCCCGACCCTCACAATGTTTGCATCGTGCATAAGTTACACTGTACATCGCTCTCCAACTTATCGACAGCCGGAAGGAACTCAGAATCTAGAGGAAAAGAGAGGGTGCAAAAAGAGGCACTCCTGGAACCGACTGCCGATCCCAAGGCAGTGTCAGAAAAGCATAGACCTGAGGCCAGGCCCAGGAGGACTCCCTTTGACATGAGCACATCCCAGAGCCCAAAACAAGCCGGGCCTGAACCATAAACCGCCATAAACCCTAATCCCTAAAACCCGAAACCCTCATCCCTAAACCCTAAACCCTGATCGTAGAAAAAAACGTAGTGAAAGCAGCGCTGTATTGGTTCCCAGGCCCTAGCAAGGCCCAGAATCACAGAGTCCCGCTTGTTGGATCCGTCCTCAACATGTATCGTCCATCCGAAGTTTGCAAAACGCCCAAACTTCTTAGCATTACCCGAAAGGCTTTTGCACCCAATCAAGAGACAAGGAAAACTGCAATGCGTGTAACCGGCTCTGAGACCCTGACCGCTAGAGAAAACAGCTCCGTCAGGACCATTCCATGTGGAGCGCAGGGATCTCCAGGGTCAACGTATGAGGTGCACGACGCTTGCTTGAAAGACACTCCGACGAGGCCTGCTGTGTATTTCTCCAAGTTCAGGCCATGCCGGAGAAGCACCTCAGTCACAAGCGACGAACTCCGGAGCCTACGATACCTGCATTCAACGAGCTGGTTTCGTGCTGACTTGTAGTCTAAGCAGCTGACGGTATGAAGGCCTGTCCAGGAGCAACTAAGATGCCTCCACCACAAGTTGCGAGGCGAGCCTGCAAAATGAAGCCGGGCAGCCGCTTCGACGGCATCGGGCGGCTCCAAGGGCCTGCAGAGCAAAGGCAGAGCAAAGGCGGAGCCTGGTCTCCCACCGCGCCCGGAGCCTGGTCCTGTACCAGCCCAGGGGGCTCAGGGCTAAGGGCGAGATGTTGGCCTGCCGGAACAGGGCCAGGCGCCCAGACGCCCAGGCGACAGGATGGCGGTGCTGGTCCTCGGTCCTCGCCTCCATCAGCCATCACTGTGACGAAAAACCAGACCGGTCCGTTGCTCCCTGGCGCTGTCTGAGTTCAGTCTGCTTTGCGACTTGCAGGTGGATTGCTGGGTCCTGCGGTGTCAAGTCATGAGTTCTGATTCATGGCTCGAGCATTCAGCTGCCCATGGAAGATCAAACTTGCCATGCTCGGTGCATGGACAATGCAGGAATAATAGTGTAGCACGAAGGCATCTGGCGCACAGAATTTTACGCTAAGTTCAGCATCCGCTCTGCCGCATCAGTTTCCGAAGAGAGCTTATAATGTCTGTTGCAGCAGCTCATGCTTGGAACGGAGCCACGCGTTCTGAACAGCGTGCTGACAGGCGCAGGCACGTCCCTAGCAAAGCAGCAACGTGGTGTGAAACTTGTCTTGGCAGTAGAGCCGCTAAAAACCCGCTAGACTTCTCTTGATCACGACTCGTTTGAGCCGCACCACCTGCTTCAATGATGGCATCTCAGGCATGTGTCACCACATGGTCAAGAATCTGATGTCGATTATGCTCAACCCTGAACGCATGCCATGCGCTGGAGGGAGAGCTCTTCGCTTGTTTCTCGATTCCATGATTCGGCTGAAAGGTACTGCAAGGGTCGGCAGTACAATCTCCGTCAGTGTGCTAGGCCGTATGCCCATTTCAGCACGGCCTCTTCGCGGTACAGTAAGCATCAAGCGGTCATCAAGTAAACAAGTAAACAGTTACGTCAGATATACCCGGCATAGTACAGGCGCCAGGTTGTGAGACATACTGCTGACAGCTCCACGTCACACAAGAGGTCGAAAAACGTCTTTTGAAACCTTGGAGGAAGGCACACCCAAGGGTCGATGAACGATGCTCATGCGACGAGAACATGTGGCTGCCATCACTGCCTAATCAGGGCCTAGTCAGTAAACACAAAGTAAAGGACACAACACTGCTGCCCACGAAGCCTTCTAGCAGCATCGAAGTCCGTCACGTTGCTGCCACTTGAACCGGAGAGGAGAAGTGGCAAGACTGAGCACAGAGCTAGGAGGAAGGCGGTCACTGCCGTGGTTTTCCAAATACTCTTCAGGAATTTGGCCAGATCGGTCCTGCGTGATGAGATGCTCGTCTTGCTCCTACAGCCTTGCTAGCTTGCCTCCTCTCAACTTAACTTTGCCTGAAGCTTGTCCCTCCCTGCCATTCTGTCCTTCTCACGGAGTCAATGCCATAGGCACCGGTAGCCAGTGCTGCGATCAACCAACAAGTTGTCAACACAGCCCCGTGGGCCAGTATAGCTTTGCTTGAACCGGTATCCGTGGTGTCCCAGAGGAGTGTCCACTGGGGTGTATAGACGCCTGTCTGTGCCAAGACCACGATGATCAAAGCAGGCACGATGATGCCAGAGACAACCATGTCGCCCAGCAGCAGCCTTCGAGATACGGGGGCAGACTCCTCCAGCTCATCCAACCTTGCGGCACATTGAAAAACTCCTGTCTCATGGGCTTGCATGTCAAGACCTGCCAATTCGGCTAAGAGTCTCTTCCACGTCTGCTTCGTCCTCATCCCCTGCAAACTGGAGTTGTAGAATATCCAACAACTCACGCTTCTAATCGTGTGCTCTCTCGGTGACTGCTTTGATCGGCTTTGATCGAAGAACTGCAAGGTTCAAGCACTCCAGAACCGTTGCCCTTTGCGGGGGTCTTGCCCTTTGTGGGGCTCTTGCCCTTCCATGACATGAGCAAAGATGCTGGTCCCAAAGTAACTCCCTCCTGTCATGCCAGGTCGCTAAGTATGTCGAAACACATATGAAGAAAGAAAGATCGAACACCAACTTTGGTCGCACGCTCACGTAGACCATTCTAGATGGGTGCAGTACCATGTCATGACACACGCACACAAAGTGACTCGATCCAATTCCTGAAGCTCTAACCTCACATGGACATTCAAGATATTGGAATCATTCGGATCATACCACACAATGGAGTCCCAGGACTACTCATGTTATTTGCGCCATTCTGCTTTCAACCTATGGCGAGAGAGCACAGTACATTAAGACAGATCTGCGATCCTATTGACTGGCTCACTGCCTATCTGCCTCCCCACCTACCTCACAACCACCTATTAATATGCATGCGCATTCATACAAACGTTCTCAGGGGCACTCGCATGGACGTGCAGTGCATGCACGCATGCATACATGTATTCTTGCATGCCCAGATGCATTCATGGACATACACACAGAGAGCTTTTGTAGATATGCGCATGCAATCATCTGCACCCACGTGCCCCATGCCTCGGTCTGTAAAAAACATGTAGACAGACAGATACATGGGCTGGTCGGTTCCTGTGTTCGACACGCTATTCTCGCGATGTTCCCGCTGTCCATGTATGCGCACATTTGATTCACCTGGCCTTGCCCCGAGTAGCACCAAAGGCCTGTGTGCTAGGCTCTGGCACAAGAGAGTGTGGATCGTCCCTTTACTTACCTGCGCCACCATGGCACCAGCTTCCCTCGCAAGATTGCGCCAGCATGCCCCACAGTGAGCTCTTGATTGTCATCATAACCCTGGTTGTCATTATGACCGTGATTGCCTATCATTTTGACCGTGATTGCCAATATCTGCATTGTCATTATGACTTCTTCAACGATCGCCAATCAAACTGCAAGGATTGCCATCATGACATCTTCATGCCGATTGCCATGTAGCCTTCTGGCTGCTGGAATGCCATTGGAAGTTCGCTCGACATTGGACGTCATGCCGACTGGTTGCGAGCATCTGCACAAGACCAGGCCGTCAAATTCAGGTCGATGTATCAGTTTCTCTCCTACAATCAGACCAGTGGAGGATGTGCTCTCCTTAGTCAGTGTTCTCCTACCTGACCTTAAACCCCTGATTTTGACGCAGGTTGCCGACACTTATGCTGGAGATTCCAGGTTGGTCAATATTTCCTCATCCCACGCTTTATCGCAGCACCGACGCGGCAGATGGGCGACTTCCTTTTTGTTAGGCCACCTGACCATGATTCCTTACTCCACAGTGCTGTCTAGGGGAGCCGACATGACGCGAACCGGGGGACCACGGCTCTAGGCACGCGTCAATTGACTTTCCAGGTGATCCATCTTTTTTTGGCGAGCGGTCGCGAATACCCCTTGTGCGTCAAGTGAGGTTCATCAGCAACTATAGCAGGCTCCTTTGATAGTTAGTAAGCATTTCCCCCACGGTGGCCGGAAAATTTACCCTAGTCCTGCCATCGTCTCATGCGATCACGGTGGCGAAGAGCCCTGTATATAGAATTGTCTATCGTGTATGTAGTTTAACTGAACTTGCTTCACATGCCTTGTGCTTCCGCCGACTTTTTTGTGTTTCCCTGCACGTTAGTCCCATTGAAAGGGTCTCACCTGTCGCGCTTTTCGCATCGAGAGAGTGACGCTTCTTGGCGCTTTGCAGACACTAAGTAACACAGGGACAGGATGCATGAGGATCTTGCCTGTCTGTATGCATGCGACCATGAAGAAAGGCATGCTTGTGTAGACCCCCTGCACCCTCATACAACACCAAAGCAACCCGGATTAAGCCTTTGTCTGTCAGTCCCGTGTGCGACCGCTCGCCTTCTGCATCCAGTCCTGATCCTTCAACCGAAACGGCTCGCGTCAGCCGCCACGCAATAAGACACCACACCTGTGCGAAGGGTATGTTGGGCCTTCGGTCTGGAAACCGCTACTTTCCTGGGTTCCCATGCACTTCGCCAACCGCGGCTGACAGACTTCTTAGCTCGGCATGGCTGACCAGATCCAACATGCACCTGCCGCATTGCCCTGCCTCAAACTGGAGGTCGATGAAAAAGTCTCGGAAAGTCGGCAAGATGGCTGCGCTGGTCACCTCGGTCAGACTTGAACGCGAATGTCGCTTGATGTGTGGTATGTGTCCAGAGAGGTTGGGACGGACAGCTATACCGTGCAGCCTAGCAACATAACCCAGGGCCGCATAGCTGTCCGGCAGCCAGCCATTTGTCCTTAAAACCAGCCAGGCTGAGCATGCCAGCCAAACTGTCGCCACAGCGGCCCATGCTGTCCGCTGAATGGTCTCCAGGAGGTTCTTGGGGTTTACGGCTTTGGTCTCGAAAGCACCAAGTGCAAGACCTCCCAGAAGCCAGCACAGACCATACAACACGCCGTGGAAGTACTCGGGAAAAACGAAGCCAACATCACTGTCTGGAAGTTGCCGATACCAATCTGGCTCGAGGGCACGAAGGAAGACGATACTGAGCAAGGGAGCGACGGCAGTGGTGATCCCCAAATCTCCAACCAGAGTCCAGCCGTTTGCTAGACTTGGCTTCGAAAGTCTTTGGGAGATGGTGACCACATTAACTTCTTTCATGACGTCCAATTCGGAGGGCTTCTTCGCCATCGCGCCTTGTGGCTTGGCCTCTCGGCCCTCGACACTACGTGGGAGCAGGCTCGGTCGAGCACAGATTCTGCGATCTCCACGATTCCGCAAGGCAACCTTTACGGCTGCCAGCATGCCCCCTATCACTGGCAGGGATCGAGCCAAGCTATTCCCTGGCTTGCGGCAAGCTCTTGCTGCAACCTGTCGGTGAAGGGGCTGAGAAGGATGTGCGCCCACAGAAGTAAGCGGGAGACGCTGACCCCATGGCACAGATGCGTGCATCATTGCTTCAGCTTTGGTGACGAGGTGGATATTGTGCTCCAGTTCGGAAAGCGAGGCAATGCATCTTTGTTGCATCAGGTTTCTCTGGACGAACTCTAACCTGACCCGAGCCACTGAAGAGAGCAGAATGGTCCAGTGCATCGCGAAATGCAGTTCCATGACATGCTGTGCCAAACTGGCGGATATTCCAAGGACCTGGAATCCACAACGACCTCCATGCCGTGAACGGATGCCAACCTAGATGCAAGGCCGCTTCACGAGATCTGTTGCCCCCACGGGATATCTGAAGCCCAAACTTGCCGTCCTGAGAATGGAGCCATCTCTTCCACGAGCCAACATTAACCTTCCAAGAGACGCAACCGGAGGAAGTCGGGTTCAGGCCCAGCTCTGGATTATACTATCCAGACTAAGACTGATTGCTCCTCATCTGAAACGAAAACAAAAAAACAAGGAGCTGCAACTCACAGGCGCCTCTGTTTGCAGAAAACTTCATTGAAGAGGCCTGCCCAGGTCGCTCACCTGGCTGCAGACACTGAACAGCTCCCACCCGGAAGATCTCCCTGTTTGAAAACTGTGGTGTCTGATCTTGCCGGCACAGCGGTCTCCGGTTTGCGAATCTTGCTGGCTTGCTTGTATTGATGCCTATATATCTGCATGATCTGTGTCAGCTATTTTCTTTCTGACAACCCCATGGCCTGTGGCAGGGCACCCGCGTCTCACCACTTCGGTGGTGGGCCAGGACCTCTTCTGCCGGGTCCGTCACCTGGCGGTCCAGAGTCGAGGGACTCTTTGGGAATCAAGTCGTGGGCCCGGATATAAACTGGCAAGCCTTACGTGAATACATTCCCTGCGGAGCATCGAAGTAATCCTGCAGTTCTGACAGCTCTGAATCTGCTGCAGACATGTCTCAACGGCCTGCTCCGCATCGATGTGCTCTGCACCTGGCGTGCATCTTCGAATTAACTGCCCACTGCCACACCAAACTCAGAATTGCCAGATACCGAACGAGGTCTGCTGACCTCCCCGGTCACCACCACGATTCTTCCTCCCACCTGAGAACCAGACATTCTTTTGACGGCTGAAGGCACACAAGTCAGCAGAGAACGTGCCTCTGGTGCCACGGGTCGTCCGCTTTGAATACGGCAATGAAATCTGGGCTCAGGGGACTAGCAAAGCATACCTGGAGCGCTTTAGCCTAAACGCGGCAGCCGCACCAGGCACTTGTTCCGGTCGAAGAGTGCGCTCGCCTCGAAGCCGGCACCAAGTAGCCACCTTATGACAGACAGAAAATGAGTGCAGTTACCTCCCCGAGTATCCCCGAGTTGCAAGTCGCAGCTCTGAGAACCGAGCTTTTTGAAACTACCATCGTTTTTTCTTTCCTCGGGAGCTCAAGCCCAGGCTTCTTGCGCATAGGTCTAGCCTCCCGATGTTTCACCTTTCGTTCACGATCCGCTGGTTGATACCTCGCCCTGCAGCCGAAACTCATGGCTGTAGCCACTCCGAGGATCAGCTCGGACCTGGGCAAGCACGACCAACGACAGATTGGAGCCGCTGTCACACATAATTTGCTAGCGAAGTGCCACATTTCACGGCTTTGCTAGTGAGCTGCTAGTGTCACCACTGCTCTGCCCCTCAGCTTCTACACTTCGTCAAATCATCCAGACCAGTGGTGGACCCCGATTAACGCTAAGGAACTGCTTGTCATCGCGGCATTCGTTGACCATATCCCTAAACACCCCTCAAAACCTCAAAACTCTACATGCTGACTCTTGGTAAGGTATTGTCGTTCAGACGCGGCCATGAAAGCAGCAACACAGCAGAACCAGGATCTCAAGCCGTTGGCTGGAAGATTCAACTTTCATGCGCCTTGAAAGCACAGCATCCGAAACAAGCTCAGAATAGCCGAGGAACCACTGCGTTGAAGCGGCCGGCGAACACGGAGGCCAACTCCTGAACCTGTCCCACTTCACTCGCCATCGGGACCCATCCCTGAAAGTGCTTGCATCGAGGACATATTATGTCCGGGCCTCTTTGGGACCTGTCGACAGAAACTCCTGGACGCTCTCCAGTAAGTGGTCCTTGCACAGAGTCGGAATTACAGCTGCCAATGGAACTGGCGGAGGCTGCCGAATGCTCCAACTGCCTCTGACTCACCGTCCCACTGAGACCAGTCTTCTTCAGGCCAGGCCTGCTCAGGGCGGTCGATTGCTGTCGGCCCTTGACCAGAGGGTCGGTGCCTTCCTCCGTTCAGGCTTCATTTGGCTCGTGAGAAATGATACAACTAGTTCCTTCTGTACCCTCTCGTCAATTCCCAGTTTTGGTAGGTAGGAGGGCAGCAGACGTTCTGCGACCTGACATAGTCTGCTGCGTCTGCCTGCTCATATCCATCGTAGCCATCCCGCTTCCTTCTGCCTGCGACCACGCTCTGAAGGATTCAGCTTTGCAGGCGTGTTGCATGAGAGGAACTCTCTTCGGGACACTCTTCAGCTCTTTGGGCTAAAACTTGTCACTTTTGCTTACAGCTCTAAGCTTTCTTGTCCTCTCTCCTCCACGTCTAATCTTGAGTCCAATTTTCTAGTGGTTGCTGATCTTGACTTCTCCTGCGACCCTTGTGCTAATTCTTATCGACGTGTTTCAGCTTCTTTTGGGCTTCATGCAGGTCCGAGTTTTCCACAGAACATGTCCCCCCTTGCTGGCCGGATGGAGTGCGGTGCACCTCGAGGCGCGCCCTGGTGGTTCCAGCCACCTTCGCCGCCTGCTATGTCCAGATACCCCAGCTTCCAGCACGGTTCACTCAACAACCGTAGAATTGGAATCTGCATGCTTCTTGTGTGTGGGTTCTTGGCGAAACTTGAAGCGCTTCAAAAAATCAGCTACATGCAATGCTGTCAACCCGGAACATCATGAAAGATATAGACCCCCACCTGCGAATCCACTTTAAGTTTCAGTTCACACCGGTGGTCCAACGGAAACCCAGGCACACTGACAACAAAACCCGAAATTCAAGCTTTGTGTCGCTCCGGTCTGGTCTACTTATGGTCACGAAGCGACAGCCGGCTACTGAAAGTTCGAGACTGCCACGAGTACTGACTGCTGACATACTACAAACAGACGACCCTGAACCCAGAGCATCCCACAACCCTCGCGAAACCAGCGCGGTCGGCCGCGCCTCCCCCGTTCCATCCCCATTCACGTGGGTTCATCCACTCCGCGGCCTGGCCAAAGGCCCAGGGCCGGCACCGGGCTGGTCGGGGAGGATTATTAAATTCTCCTCGTGTGGAGTCTTCGGGTGTGCCACATTCGTGGTGTTTGATCACAAGACTCCACCTCTTGTATTGCAGCTCCCCTGCAGCCATGGCAGCGACGATGCTCCAACATCAGAGTTAAGAGCAGCTGAAGCATGTGCGACGAAGTGAAACGGTCGACATTGCTCAGTAAGTCTCAGTGTGACTCCCTCTCTTGCTCTTCTTCCACTCAGCCAAGAGAGGGCACAGCTGCACCCCTCTTTCTTTCTGCAGGGCTTAGGGGTCGGCGTCCCCGACCCTCAGGCTTTTAGCCCGCCCATCCTCTCTCTCTCTCTCTCTCCCGTTGCTGTGCTCTTCTCACCATGACTGAAGACACGGCACAAGCCGAGCTGTGCCCGACGGCTGCCTTGTCTCTCTGCGACTTGGAAACGTTCCAGCCACCAAGCAGACGGGGTCTTCTGCTGCCTCCATGACATGGCAGACCCCTTTGCTGCATCATCCGGCTGTGGACGCGCTTTACTTTACAACACTCTGACTCACAAAGCAAAGCGAGACTCCCAAACGAGGCCTCCAGCAACGCGCTGGGCAGCAAAGATCAGAGGTGCAGGGGACTGCAAAGCGGCTTTCTCATTTCATGTTCGGCAGTCGGAAGTATGCGAATTCCCCGATAATCAAGCGCATGTCCTGCATCAAACACTGGCGGTGCAACTCCAGGTAGCTGTTCTCATCTCCGGCATCCGCCGCCTGAATCCACACCCCCATGTCCCAAGCTTCAGCAACCTCCGGGATTCTGCACGTGGCACCTCTCCGCTTCCACCCAAGGCCGTGATGAAGACCAGGGTAACCAGGCTGGTTGTTGCCTGCGCTCTGGCAAGCTTACTGTGCCTCAGCCCGTCGGACTCGAAACGAAACTGCCTTGATTAGCGACCACCAACATCGGCTCAACGTCCAAAGAGCCTTATGATGACGGGGTTTTTGGGCCACTTGTTTTCACTGTTGTATCGACTGTTTTACGTTCTCTGTTGCGTGCATCTGACGCATCATACGGAGAGTCTGCGAAGGCTGCCACCAGGTAACCTGCCACACCGCTGTCCGGAGCAATACTCCTCAATCCTAGGCTTGCAGGCCTGGCGTGACATGCGCTGCGGCAGGCAAACCTTCGGGGTCCTCAGCTGTCGCAACGTTTCGCAACGTTTTTGCAAAAAGCAGCTATCCGCTGCTCTTTGAGCCTTGTCAACTCGTGACTCCCGCACAGGTAGGCTCCCTGCCGCACCGGCGATACAGAAGTCAGCCGGAAAGACGGACGCAGCATCTCGGTGTGGCGAAAAATCCGAGATCACGGAGACACAACCACGACTGGAGTTTGGTGAACTCGCAAACTGGCGACAAAGCAAGACAACTACACAGTCACCAGCCAGGAAGGACAGGAAGGACAGCACGACGACGAGGACTTTTTTCTAGGCCTCGTGCTTACAGATGTCTCAACTTCGAGCACCGCCAGCTTTGAGAGGTCCACGTCTTGTGGCAGCATCTGAAAAGCAAGGCACTCTGTCTTGCAACAAGCTGAGACTCGAGTCTGACAGTCACTACAAGTCGTGATGAAGCAAAGAACTTGAGGAGAAGCATATTTTCTTGCGAAAGATCCGCAGCCTCCCAAACAAGCTTCCCTGCTTTGGCAACGCCTCTGACGGCTTGAACCTCAGGCTGGCTCGCTTCAGCTTTGCCAGCACTTTCGGAAAGCTCAGGATGTAGGGCTGCGGCTTCGTGCAGGAACCTCTCCAAGGTGCCCCCAACAGACGCGGCACAAGTCCCTCCCTCACTTGCGAATGACATGCCTCAAAGTCTTTACCCCGCAAGCGTGCACATCACAGAGAGAGAGAGAGAGAGACTGTGGAGAGAGAGCGAGAGGGAGAAAAGAGATGCCAGAAGAGAGGCAGAGAGCAGAAGGAAGCCAGAAACCCGCCTTGCACGACATTGACCCCTGGCATGCATGCTCCGTGCGACATGAAGACTACATGGTCACATGGCAACAAGGTTTTCTCCCCCAGACCCCCAAAGCGATGCAGGCCCACCACCAATTGTCATAGTCCTCTGAAGCCCACCAACCAGGACCTTCAGACGGTGGTTCCGCTGCACCTGCGAGAAAGTACACGCACACGGCTGCCCATGTGCGGCCCTTGCTTCTGAGGCACCACCAAACTTCGCCAAGGAGCCCAGGATCCTCTCAGTCCAATCTTCTGAGAACACGGCTCGTCTCTCGAATTCTAGCAGTGCCGTCCTTTGCCCTGCTGACTGCTCTGGCGCATAATCTTCCAGCCGGTCCATGATCGGCCCATCACGTACGTCTGCCCAGCTCTCTGGCCTCGAAGGGAGGGTCAGGCTGCATTCGGCATTCGGTAACGACGGTTACGAGACGTTCATCTGACCGGGCTTTGGACCGCGTCCGTGTGCTTCCAACCGTGGGCGATACTCTGTATTCTGCTGATGCGCAAGGGCCTGCATTCCATCGAGAAACCCAAGGAAGGGGCTGCACCACTGGACACAAGGGCCTTGTCCGAAGGGCGGCCCAGCTGGTTTCGGCGGCACGGGGCCATGCCCACAAGGACCACCAGGCAAACAAGGACTAAGTTGGCAGCCCCCGCAAGGCCCGCAGGGACCGCAAGGGCCACAGGGCCCACAGGGCCCACAAGGTCGAGGACCACACGGTCCAGACGCAGGCCCGCATGGGCCGCAAGGGCAAGGAGCACATGGGCCTGGCCCAACGCTGGGCGCAGCCCCTCGCGGAGGACCACAAGGCCCAGGGCCGCAGGGCCCAGGGCCACAAGGGCCCGGCACGCATGGGCCTAGTCAAGCTGCATGATCGGCATGCAAGAAATGCTCAAGACACATGCCGTGCCTAGAGCTTGGTTCCGAGATTGGGAAGGAAGCGTCCAAACACTCTCGTTCGTCTCCTGCGCAAAATGAATCGATGCATGCACCGAACCCTACACAGGAGAATCAATCGTCAACGCCAATCCTTGTTCCAGTAGTAAGTCTTGCTAGTCCCAGGCAGCCTGGCAGATTACAGCCGGGAGAGTGCAGACTGCTTCTCGTGTTAATACAGTCAAGCTGCTTTTCTGCTGCCCAGATGACCCTGCATGTAACATGCACTGGCGACTCTAAAGACTCCCAGGCACATCAGAGCAGTCCTTACATTGGGCGGAGGTTCCCAAAGCACGTCGTCTTTTGTGGCATTCCAGTAGTACCTGGCAAAGTGGTGAGCTGGAGGAAGCGCCATGCAACCATTTCATGCAATTCGGGCACTTCTTCTCGCTGGTGCGTACCTCTACCTGCCGTCTTGTCACCCGCTTTCGCTAGACAACTGATGGCTCTTCGACAACTGCTGGCTCTTTCGCTTCTGGCGTTTCTCCCTGGTCCTACCTGCTCGTCTCTCTGCCAAAATAGGTGGGATCCGGAACTGAAAAGAATCTGTTTGCCTTCGTGCTCGGTTGCTTCTTCGTTGCTCGGCTGGATCGTACCCCGCTGGGGATCCACATTGTAGGTGTGGATTCCTTGCATTAGGTCTGGAGGCGTCGCTGCCCGCTAAGCACTGGCGCCACGCACTCGCAGCAACGCCAGCCTCGTTTCTCTGTCTTTCCTTCTTCTACCAGGCATAGGGGGCGGGTTAAGGGGTTTAAAAATCCTTCCTTTCTTCCTTCCGACGCAGCCCGCGCCTAGGCGCCCTCTTCCCTATTTGGTTGGTAGGGAAGAGGCTTTGGGGTTGTCTAGGACGTTTGTCGCACCCTCGCTCGGTTCAACTGGGAGTGTAAGGTTGCAAAATCCTCTCTCTCTCTGTCTCTTCTCCCTCCTTTCTTTCTTTCTGCCGCTCAGGCCTTCGGCCCGCCCGACCTCCATCCCTCTCCCTCTCATTCTTCTACAGGTCTTTCATTGCCAGGGGGTGCGTCTCCTGTGCACACAGGCACGCGGATCTCGGTCGGTCTCTTTGCTCTTCCTCTCTTTACGAGGCCAGAGAAGGGCAGGTCCAGCCGTTCTCACGCGAGCGCGTGCTACAGGCTCTGCTGGGCTTTACACCCTGTGGAGGTCTGGGAGCATGTGCAGGGAGCCTCCCCGTTTTCGCACCTGAACAAATTAACCACTGTGAGTCTTGAGGAATCTCCTTGGGAGAAGCCCGTGCAATTGCCTGTCCAGGTGTGTCCAGATGACACTTTACCTGCGAGGTTTATCGAAGTCTGTGCTGTCGTTTTTCAGGCCAAAGAAATTAACGGCAAGATACCGATTCTTTCTGGATTCCTCTTTTTCCACCCAGGTGGCGTGAATGCGTTGAGCGGTGAGCTGCAGCTACGTACAAAAAGGATGGGTCGGCAAGTGCTTACGCGCAGAAGGTCTGATGCAGACAAACTCTCGAAGACACCTGGGCAAAAGGAGTAGTGGCCTCGAAGCCAAATCGTTTCATCGTGGGGACCGCTGTTCGAGCTCTTGCGTGCCCAAGCCACGGTTCTCAGCCTTCACCCGTTATATTCCTGTTTCCTCTGCTTCTTGTCTTTCGCTTGAAAGTTTGGCTGCAGTTCTCGGTGAACTGCTGCCAGCCCTTCGATCACAAGACTGGTCCAGCGACCCTGATGCTGAGCTAGAGGCCCATGTATCTGCCATTTCCGAAAGGCTGCAGCGGCCAAGGAATGCAGATTCTTCGCTAGCAGTTGCAAGGTTTCGGCTTTAAATTGTTCAAGAGATTTCAGGAGGCACGGGTCCTTGCGAGGGCCTGACGTTCTGGAAGCGACTGCCACGGTCTTTCTTAGCATCGCTTGGACCAGCTGCGAGGGCGAGCATGTGCAGAGCATGTGCCATGGTGAGCTCCTGGCTTCACTGCAAAAAACCTGACGTGCCATGGTGAGCTCTCACGACAACGTAAGCCCTGCAAGTAGCCAAGCTCATGTCACTCACACATGTTTTCCACCGACGTGATAGGTGCAAGGCTGGCTTGGCATTAAGGCGAACTACCTCGCGCACCTTTGCTGCAGAGACAGTTCTCCCTTTCATCTACCGGAAGCGTAGTGGTGTCTCAGCTTCGTGTATCTAGACGGAGATACTGCCATTACTTATTTGGGGTAACAACCGCGGAACCCTTGCTTGTGTGGCTGCACGCCCCAGTTGGAGATCAAGCAGCACAAGTGCAAGCAGGTGAAAGACGATGGGACACTGAAGGATAAGGCTGACATCTATCCGCACAGATGTGTGTCGAACGACACTGACATCCCCAGTGGCTCAAACTTCATCACTACTCCTCCTTCCTGCGACGTCAATAATAGCCACACAGATCTTTGCAGCAAACTCGAAAACTTCTTGCACAAAGACCACCTTTCTCAAATCTCACCAAGGAGCGGTCCCGGATGAAATGGCAATGCCTCACAGACATCAAGGAACGGTGCAACGAAGTCTGGTGCCGAGGCTGCCGCCTGCGTGGCTAGTGCGAAGCCTCCAGTCCAGAGATGACAGTCAAGGCCCAAATACTGCACTGCCGCCGCTGCGGCCATGCTATGCCATGCTCGCCCCTGCATCCGAGCTGCCGGAGGAGCTGCCGCTGGCACTGGCACTGGCGCTGCTGGCGCTGGTGCCGGTCCCGATGCTGCCTTCGGAGGTGGTGCACCTCATCATGAGGTTCCAATGCGATCACTGGGTCGCAGCTTTCGTCTGGCTCTAAGTTGGCGACCTGCTTTGGCCTGTGTGAAGAAGTAAACAAAGCGTTGCGATCTGCGACCGGATACGACTGTTCCGTGCTCTGAGTCTCTTGCTCGTCTTTCTGGGCTCGGGCTATAGCTGTAGCTATAGCTATACCTGCTGAAGCAAGGAGCTGCTGAAGACCAGTTGGCTGATAGCTGTGAGCCGCTGACGAGCTGTAACTGCGGCTTCTGCCCCGGGCACCTGCTGAAGACAATCACATTGGAGCTGAATACGGATGATACAGACTGCTTGGGAGCTCCTGATTTTGCGGGCACGAGAGTTTCAAGCTGGGTGGGGTGACCACCCCGCGACCACGACCACCCCTCTCGTAATTTTGTAGATACACTTGCGCCGACCATTACTGCAGGTAGTAGTAACTTTCGTCGTCGTTGTCGTAGTGGTAGCCATAGGCGTAGTGGTTGTCGTAGCCGTAGGCGTAGTCGTAGTCGTCGTCGTAGTTGTTCCAGTACTCGTACTAATGCCTGTACTCCTAGTACTAACACTGGCAGCAGTAGTAGTAGTAGTAGTAGTAGTAGTAGCAGTAGCAATAGCCGTAGTAGTAGTAGTAGTAGTCGTCGTCGTCGTCGTCGTAGTCGTAGTCGTAGTCGTAGCCGTACTCGAAGCCGTAGCCGTGGCCGTAGTCGTAGTCGTAGTCGTGGTAGTAGTCGTGGTCCAAGTAGTAGTAGTAGTAGTAGTAGTAGTAGTAGTAGTAGTCGTCGTGATNNAGTAGTAGTTGTTGTTGTTGTTGCACTAGTAGTAATACTCTAGTATTAGTACCAGTACTGGTCCTCGACAAACGGTTGAGAGACATGT